GTCAGAAGAGAGCATGGGATCCCTTGGACCTGGAGTTACATGACAACTGTGAGCCACCAAGTGGATGCTGAGAACCAAATCTAGGTCCTCTGCAAGGGCAGCAAGTGCTCTTAACTACTGAGGTAATTAAATTAATTAATTGGCCCTATAACTGTAAATTCTCTTCCCAAACCTAGCCAGTTCCTCAATCCAGAAATTCAAGTGTAGACTGTTCTTTCATGATTCCACATCCTACCAACTCTCAAAGCCCACCAAAGACACCATCAGAACACAGGCAGAGCATTCCGAGCATGTGCAGCACAATGCTCTTCACTGTCCTTTTCCCCACCTACCTCCCACAGGACACTAAAGGAAAGCTCTTGGAATAATACAGTTTAGTAGCAGGAGTGTGACACACTCCTGCAATCTGAGCTATTCCGGAGACAAGAGCATCAAGAGTTCAAAGTCAGTCTGGGCTTTAAAAAAGGCCACATCTCAAAAAAAAAAAAAAAAAAAAAAGCCCCAAGTTCATTACTGTACTTTACTTCTGAGAAAGTCCACCAGTGGCTTCCCAAGACATTTAAAAGAAAACCTACTTCCTTGCTGCCCTAAAAGAGCCTCCCTGCACACTGGTCCTCCTCAAGGCCACAGGCTTTTGTGGGTTATCAAACTAGCTTATATACTCTTTACTCAGACATAGTGCTTGCTGTTTTCTCTGTCCACAGTGTATATTCATTCCAGTCCTCCACAGAGTTGGTTCCTTTTCATCCTGGAGTCTTGGCTTAAATGACACATTCTGGGACCTTCCCTTATCACCTTAAATTGCCACAATGCCTGTCTTGACCTCTACTTCTACTGGTCACTTAAATAGGGACTTCGTTGTCTCTTGGTCCTTACTCTATGAACATATGGAACTAGTTCACTAAATAGCTGGATGGAAGATGAACAAAGTAGCCAAGTGTAAAGAGAATATTTCATGAAAACTGCAGAGATCAGTTGCATCAGAACTCTTCAGAACTGTTCCAAAGACAAAGCAGAATGAGTTGGACCTGGTGGCACACATCTGAATCCCAGCACCTGGGAAACAGGCAGAAAGGTGGTGAGTTCCAGGCTGTCTGGGCTACAGAAGGCCCTGTCTCAAAACAAGCAATTAAAGAAACAAACAAACAAATGAAGCAACAGAAGGGAGGGAGCTGGGTGGTGGTGGTGCACACCTTTAATCCCAGAATTTGGGTGGCTGAGGCAGGTGGATCTCTGTGAGTTCAAGGCCAGCCTGGTCTATAGACTAGGCAGTTCTAGGATAGCCAGGGCTACAAAGAGAAACCCAGTCTGGGGTGGAAGGTGGGGGAGAAGAATCCAAACAGGAAATTACTGCTACAAACACTCATTGAAACAAGACAGGGATTAAAGCACAACAGTGAGAAAAATACAGATGTTCAAAAAGAACCTGAAACCACAAGGGACACCCCAAGGAGTACAACATTGCAGTTCCTACATCAACACATCTCCCTGGTTAGAAGAAACTGAGGGAGGGCTTTTAGCAGTACGCGTCCAAACAGGAGACTCAGATAAGTAGGAATTAGCTTCATCAACTAAACTCTAACAAGCTAAAATATCCTTTCAGAGATCAGCTATTTAAAAATTTGTTATCTCCCGAGATGTTACCCAGGAGGGAGAAAGCATCCTGAATTCCCATTCTGACTCCCTGTTCAATCAGCGTCTGTTAGGTGACAGGCATTCAGTCTAGTACAAAGCCAGTATAGTGAAATTCATTACCTTTCACCTTTCACAGCACGGGGAGAAACCAGCTCCCATCAGCCACCCAAGAGAAGTGAGATATTACTATAGCACACTGAGACAGAAACAGCAGCTGACAACCTCTGGTGCCACAGCTGTGCCAAGAGCTTACCTGTAGTATGTCATCTGCTCTCAGTGAACTAAGAGACAGGTGCTAGGGGGTACAAAGATGTGGCCCTGAACAGAGAACTGGCCCCAGACCACAGAGCTAGATTCCGAAGCCAGACTGATGCCTATGAAGTTCACTATTCTGCACCAAGTGCCCCAGGCTCCTGGAGGAAGACCAGCACCTGCCTCTGGTAGTCCTGGCTTAGACACAGGTGGACACTTCATGGAATAAACATGCTCGTGCAAACATATGTACACACAGAGAGGCTCATGGGAATCATTTAAAGCATCTTCACTCAAGCTGAGGGGCCATTCACAAGAAAACCTCCGTGGACTATGCTTGGCCAGAACATTAGACACAAATACTTCATGTAAGGGAAGCTGGAGAGATGGCTCAGCAGTTAAGAGCATTGGCAGCTCTTCCGGAGATCCTGAGTTCAATTTCCAGCAACCACATGGTGGCTCACAGTCATTTATAATGGGATAATATGTCCTCTTCTGGAATGCAGGTATACATGCAGATAGAGCACCATATACATAAAATAAATACAACTTCTTAAAAAATTCATGTGAAACAACATTCTTTCCAAGACATACCTTACAACTACCAGTTGGCCCTGGTTCAAACCATTATGGGACTAGCAAAGCTTGGATATCATCAAGATATAAGACAATAGTATATGAAATTGTCAAAATATACATAAAAGATATTTTTAAGGGGTGCAAGAAAAAGTAGTCCACTATTACTGTACTTTTGCTTTAAAAGTATCTGCTGATGGTGGTGGCACACGTCTTTAATCCTAGCACTCACTTCGGAGGCAGAGGCAGGCGGATCTCTGTGAGTTCAAGGCTAGCCTGGTCTACAAAGCAAGTTTCAGGACAGTCAGAGATATACAGAGGAATCCTGTCATGAGAGAAAAACAACAGAAAACTACCAAACGGTTCAAGGAATGCTCCTGAGAGCCTTTCCTGAAACAGTGTACACTGCTGACCCTTCACTTATCCAGCCCTGGGCAAGAGGGCAAAATGCCACACCCTTCCTGCTGCAATTCAAGTAGAGAAACCCTGCTCAACAGCTTCTCCCTTCCTGAGACAGCTTCTCCCTTCCTGAAAACCAGAGGAGGCTATGCCAAACAGTACCAAGAAGGTAACTCCTTATTTGAGCTAAGTCCTCCCTTCCCCCATGGGAACTGTTCACTTTGAAACTGCCAAGAGATTTCAGATTCTGTAAACTTGGGACGCAGCCTCCAGTCAAGCCGGAACCCTATATCTCATGTATAATCCTGGGATTATTCAACAGAAAATATTTCATTGAGATAATCTGCCTCAGTCACCACAGTCATGAGGCACCTCAGATTCCCAAGGAAGCCCTCTACTCAAAGACTGGTATCTCTTGCCTTCTCACCAAACATGTCCCAGCAACCCTAGCTCCAAAATGCCGAGTTGTCCTCTCTTACTCTCACCATTCCACAGCCCAAAAAGTTCATTATGTTACAAAATTAACTTGACAACACATTAAACTTGTAGAACTAAAAAGCAAATTTATAAATTTCTTGTTGGGACAAAACCTGGCAAGGTTGAGAGTACCTCATTTTCTTTTTTTGAATTTTTATCAGTGAAATCTCTTAGGAAGCCTTGAGAGAGTGGTGAGGCAGCTCAGCATGTGAAGTTGCTGCTATCGGCAAAGCCTAATGAGCCCAGTTTGATACCCAGCTTACCTGGTGGATGGTGTGTGCGTGTGTGGCAGGATGGAGGAAGGAAGGGAGAGGGAAAGGGGAAGAGGGAAAGAGACAGAAAGAGGGGGAAAGAAAATGCACAACTTTCTTCTTGTAAACACCTGGGAAGTTTGTATGGTTCTGTTTACTGTTTGAGATGAGACCTCACTCTGCTGCCCAGGCTTCTCTGGGATTCCTGGGATCCAAGGCCTCCTCCCTCTTCGCTATGACAAGTGGCTGAGACTACAGCACCCAGCTGACAGCCCCCAGTTGAAGATTATGGAGAAAAATGTGGGTTTGCTGGGACAAAACACACCCAGGTACTATCTAGAAGACAAAGCTTCCTCACATGGTGTTCTGTCTAGAAAACTCGTTCTAAAGCACTTGTGGTAATAGAGCAGAGGCGTGTTTTTATTTCTCTCTCTTTCTTAACTACCTATTCAATAAACTATTTCCACAACTGACAGTCTAACAACTGATTTCTTCCCTTACAAATGGATTCAACACACCCAAATCAGCAGGTTTCAAAATCAGTCACTATTAACAACCGCAAGGCCTTAAGCTGACAATGAGCATTGTTACCAGTAGATCTGGGAAATACAGGGAAGAGGGTTGTAGGTCTGAACAGAACTCTAACCAAAAGTCACGAGAACACGAACCACGGAAGGTGTGTTCCAGTTCATCTGGAGCGCACTAAATCAACTGGCTCTTTGCACAACACCCCCTCCAAATATTGACAATACTCAACTTCAATAACTCAACCTGACTACCAGCTAAAGCCTACCCTGTTGGTCCAACAGAGTAGAAAGAGAAATTTTTCGACAGAGAAAACTGTCTAAGCACTGGATTTAATCCAGAGATGAAGAACACCACCCCAATCTTAAGAGGGCGAAAAGAACCTTTCGATTCCTTGAGGACCTCCAGGAAAGGCAGCCAGCCACTTCCAGAGAATCAGGAAGAGCAGATGGCAGGGGCTCCCTGCCCCTCCCCCATTCGGAAGCTCCGTTGAGCACTGTCCAATCGAAATACGATGCCAGCCGTATAAGCCATTTTAAATTACCAAATAGCCATACTGAAAAAGTGAAAAGAAACCGGCCAGAGCGGTTCATTCTAACACGGCAACAACAGGTATTACCTCAATTAACTAAGTAACACACTACTAACACACGTTGATTTAAGTATAGGAGTTTACCAAGGAGATCTTTTTCGTTATTTCTCCCAAGTCACACTTGAAAATTGAAACCAGAGCTAAGCGGTGGTGGTTCACGCCCTTAGTCCCAGCACTCGGGAGGCAGAAGCAGGTGATCTCTGAGCCTGAGGCCAGCCTGGTCTACAGAGTGAGTTCCAGGGCACTCTCTGGGGGGGAGGTGGGGGCAGAAGTATAACTCAATTAAGTCTTACCACATTCAAGTGCTGGACGGCCCCACGGCACCAGTAACCACCTTAGCGGACAGCACAGGTTTAGTTTCACCAAACTCCCTTCGTGTTAAATACCTTTACCCTGTTTGATCCCTTAACATCTAGGGACCCGAAAACGCCCAACCCCGAATAAATTCACCCAATCAGAACAAATGCACCACCCCTTGGGCCCAGCCAGGACCTTCCAGCCTGACCACACCCCTGCGCTGACCACCCCTTAACCGGAAATTCCCGCTAATGGGAACTGACAGGTCTCCATTCTTTAAGGGTGGGGAAAGAAAAACCAAGAACCCCCTTGTAGTCCCGGCACCTCCGCTGAACCCCGGAAACCGGTCGCCACCCATATGCGGGTGCGACGGGCGCAAAACCCGCTGGGAGGAACCCGACACCGGCAAGCGCGCACTCGACAGGCATCGTGCGCGCCCCCAAAGCGAGACACTTATTAACCCGATCCCCCGCGACCACCTAGCACGCGGAATGTGAAACCACCAAAAGCGACTGCGCGGACGTCGGCCAAGCTATCCGGGAGGCAAGGGCCGCACCGCGCCGCCCGCTAGCGACCCCGGAGGATCCCCGAGCAGCCAGCTTCCGGGGCCCGCGCCCCTCCCCCGCCTGGAGTCCGTTAACGGCCGCGCGTGAGCACGAGGCGGCGGCGCGCGCGCGACCAGGAAAGCGCGATCCTCCCCGCGATCCCCGCGCGTCCCCTTCCCTCACCTGCGGGGCACCACCCGGGACGCGGACTCTGCGGGACTCGGAGGCGACAGCCGGACGTGCGCTCACCCGCTCTCGCTCGCACAGCCTGGCAGCTTCCCTGGGCGACCCGAGGCGGCTGCCAACCCGCGACGCTCAGGGCGGCGCCCTCTGGCGGCGGGAGGTCTCGCGCACCGCCCCGCAAACGCCACCATTGGCTGGGCCGCCAGCGTCAGACCCGGGCTGGAGGCGCCACGTCGGGGCCTTGGGGCTGCGGAAGCGGTAGCGATGGGCGGATGCCCGGGCGACTGCGCGGAAGGGGAGCCCAGTGTCCTCGGCTTCTCCCTCGCAGTTTGGAGACCAGAACGGGACTGGGAGACGACCTAGATTTTTCTGGGCACCAGGGTGTCACTCTCCTCGCAATCTGTTCCCTGCAATAACTTATCCCATGCGTCACTCTTCTCCCCTTAAAAACAAACATATGGCCGTGCCCTTTCAAATGAATGGCAGACATAGGGACCCTGAGAGGTGATGTAAACTTATCCAGGCGCTCGGGTGTCACTCTTCCAAAAACCTCTTCTCGTTGAGTTGTACTCTGCACGCAGTCACTATTTGTAATCATCTTGAAAACAGGATGCACTGGATCTCAGAGACAACACTATATAGTCAGTTTCGTTCTCCCTGGCCTTCAGATCTCATCTTAGATGTCACTGTATTCACCTGTTTCAATGGCCAGATGTCCATAGGGGCCTGCATTGTGTCAAGGCACAGCAGTACCTACGACAGGGGATGCAGAATGGGAGTGGGGATCCACAAGCCTGCAAAGACTGGAAAAACTAGAGCAGGGTGTGTGAGAGCGCCATTTTAAAGGGAAAGAATTTAGGAAGGATTCTGAGAAGTGACACCCATTCAAAACAGGAGGGAGAGTGTTCCCAGGCATGGGGAAGCAAAGATCCTGAAGCTGGACTCGCATAGCCGAGGTACAGAGGAGTGTGTATGTGTGTAGAAAGCTCAAAGCCAGTGAGCCACTACATGAAATTTGAAGTTCCTTCTCTGAGAAGGAAATTCAAGAGTCTATTTTATAGTTTTGGTTTCTTTGTGCTCCTGTGCAGATAATGGTATGCAGAAGAGACTAGCAGAAAAGTGAAAGGAGCTGAGGATGGAGCTCAGTTGGCAAAGTGCATGCACAAAGCCTTGGTTTGATCCCCAGCACCAAAGAAACCGGGTGCGGTAGCATACTCGTGTAATAGCAGCACGGGGTGAGGCGGAAGATGGGGAGTTTCAGGACTTGTTTGTCTGTGAAGCTGGAGATGCCAAGGTATAGGCCCACGAGGGGAGGAAAGAACTTACATTAGAAAACCCTGAGATGGGGCTGGAGAGATGGCTCAGTGGTAAAGAGCATTGCCTGCTCTTCCAAAGGTCCTGAGTTCAATTCCCAGCAACCACATGGTGGCTCACAACCATCTGTAATGAGGTCTGGTGTCCTCTTCTGGCCAGCAAGCATACACACAGACAGAATATTGTATACATAATAAATAAATAAATAAATATTAAAAAAAGACTTGTTTCTATGGAAACGTTAGTAAAGAGCTATGGAAACGTTAGTAAAGAGCCCTCACCCCCTTTCAGAGAGGCCGCTTGCACCCCTGGGCCATGGTCTTCCTCCCACTCCCCTTCTGCATCTCTTTGACAGAGATCTGTATCACCACACCTCTCTGACTCCTCTGCTTTCTGATTTCCCTCATGGGAGCCCTAGTGATTGCATCCAAAGATGTCCTCAGTCACACTTGGAGAGTCCCAGGGATTTTCCAGAAGGTAGCAATAGTCACAGGTTCCTGGGGATAGAGAGCAGATCTGTTTGGAAGCCCATCATTATACCTACTGTAAAAGGAAGGGGGGGGATGCTGAGCATGGATGGACCTTTTCTTGCCTTAGAAAATACTATGTTGGCCAGGCGATGGGATGGTGGCGCACACCTTTAATCCCAGCACTCGGGAGGCAGAGGCAGGCGGATCTCTGTGAGTTCGAGACCAGCCTGGTCTACAGAGCTAGTTCCAGGACAGGCTCCAAAGCCACAGAGAAACCCTGTCTCGAAAAACCAAATAAATAAATAAATAAAAAGAAAATACTATGTTATCTAAGAGTTTCTGCTTCCTTTGACTTCTATAATAGTGGTAAAAAGTTTTCTGTTTCTTCCCTGGGTGCTGCACCAGACAGGTGGGTGCATTTGCTGAGAAACCATTTTATATCCCTGCTTCCCAAGTGTCAGTACCAAAAGCATGTACCATCACATCCAGCCCTTATTCTGTCTTCTGCCTTCTGGGACCTTGCATTGGTCTGCGGCGCATACTATAATATTATATTATCTCTATGAGGTCCAGGTCAGCTTAGTCTATGTAGAGAGTTCTAGTCAGGACAACAGAGTAAGACCCTGTCTCAAAACGACATCAACTGCCCACATGCTGGCAGCCTGAAGGTCAGTTTATACCTGTAACTAGATGCAGACTAGCCGCTAGTCAACATAAGAAGCAGAGTCCCAACTGGGTATTGGTAGCATACACCTTTAGTCCCAGCACTCAGGAGGCAGAGGCAGGAGGATCTCTGTGAATTCAAGGCCAGCCTACTCTACAGAGTGAGTTTCAAGACAGCCGGAGCTACACAGAGAAACCATGTCTTAGAGAAAAAAAAAGATTTTTTTTTGTGTATGGATGTTTTTGCCTGCATGTATATCTGTGCACTACATGTGTGCAGTGCCCACGAAAGTCAGAAGAGGGCACAGACCTTCTGGAAGTGGTTGTGGTCCTGAGCTGCTATGTGAGTGGGAATCAAACTCAGGTCCTCAGCCACATGTTCTTAACTGCTAAGCCGGCACTGGCCCTTTTCTGGTGCTTTGGCTCTGCTCACTGTGTAGTCCTGCTTTGCCTGGAATTCATCACATACCAGACCATGTCTCAACACACAGAGGTCCCCTGCCTCACACTTCCAAGTGCTGGGATCAAAGGCATGGACTACCTTGCCTGGTCTTTTTCTGTTTATCTTTTTTTTTTTATTTGTTTATTATGTATACAATATTCTGTCTGCAAACCAGAAGAGGGCGCCAGATCTCATTACAGATGGTTGTGAGCCACCATGTGGTTGCTGGGAATTGAACTCAGGACCTTTGGAGGAGCAGGCAATGCTCTTAACCACTGAGCCATCTCTCCAGCCCCCCTTTTTCTGGTTTTTGAAATAGGATCTTAATATGCAGCTGTCAAGCTTCAAATTTTTGGCAGTCCTCCTGCCTCTGTGCCTCTTTAGTTCTGAATTTACAAATGACTGCATCACCACACCCAGCTTCAAGCATTTTATTTATTTATTTATTTATTTATTTATTTATTTATTTATTGTCTTTCGAGAAGGGGTTTCTCCGTAGCCTGTCCTGGAACTAGCTCTTGTAGTCCAGGCTGGCCTTGAACTCACAGAGATCTACCTGCCTCTGCCTCCCGTGTGCTGGGATTAAAGGCGTGTGCCACCACTGCCCTGTTCAAACATTTTTAAAAAAGCCTCTATGGAATTGGAACCCAGGACTTGGTCCCCCCAAAAAAATCACACAATTATTAGTAACATATTTATGGTTAAGAGATCAGTCTGAGGGGATAAAAGGATGGTTTAGCAGTTAGTGGCACTTGCTGCTCTTTCCTGAAGACCCAAGTTCAGTTTCCAGCATCTATATTATAATAGGAGACTCAAACTGTCATTAACACCAGCTCTAAGGAACCTGATACATCTGGGCACTGCAGGCACCTGTACATACATACTCACATGTAGGCACATACCTATGCATAACTAAGAATAATATATGGGTGGTGGTGGTCAGAGGCAGTGGATCTCTGTGAGTTCAAGGCCAGCCTGGTCTACAGAGTGAGTTCCAGGACAGCCTCCAAAGCTACACAGAGAAACTTTGTCTTAGGTAGATAGATAGATAGATAGATAGATAGATAGATAGATAGATAGATAGATAGATAGATAGATAAAAATCTAAAAACTAAAAGAATTTAAAAGAATAAAAAAATAAAAATAAAAATCTGGGGCTGGAGAGATGGCTCAGCGGTTAAGAGCATTGCCTGCTCTTCCCAAGGTCCTGAGTTCAATTCCCAGCAACCACATGGTGGCTCACAACCATCTGTAATGAGGTCCGGTGCCCTCTTCTGGCCTGTAGGCATACACGTAGAAATTGTATACATAATAAATAAATAAATATTTAAAAAAATAAAAAATAAAAATCTTAAAAAATGAGGCCAGTGTGAGAAGTGGCCAGCCCATGAAGAAGCACACCAAAGAGGCATAGGATCTGAAAAAATCCAGGGGACAATGACCACAAGAAAGAAGGTAAAGACAATGTTGCGGGGGAGAAACCTTTCAGGAAGCCAAAGTCAAGCACAGTTCAGCCTGCCTACACACAAAAGATGCCATTCTGAGAAGAACTTTCTCCAGAGTCAAGGAAAAAGGAGCAGCCTCAGAAGGACAGCGTCCTGACGGCAAGAAGAGCCAATAAAAGCATGGACAGTGGAACAACTTTGCACACTGAGGAGCTGTGTGTTAGCCTTACAGCACTTTCGAAAGTGATTTGTTTTTTCTGAGACAGGGTCTCTCTCTATGTCCTGACCAGTCTGGAACTCACTCTGTAGACCAACCTGACCTCAGGAGCCAGAAGGGAGCACTGGATCCCCTGAATCTAAAGTGATTGCGAGTAATTGTGACCTCCCCGGGGCCACATGGTTGCTGTGGACAGATGGTCCTCTGGAAGAGCAATAATCACTCTCAGCTGCCGAGCTTCTCTCTGGCCCAAGACTCCTCATTTTTAGTTATGTGTATGTGTGTGTCTATGTGTGTGTGTGCACATGTGTGGGAGTGACAGTGGAGGCAAGAAGGGGTCATCAGAGCTATG